TATTTATTTATTTATTTATTTATTTATTTATTTATTTATTTATTTATTTATTTATTTATTGCATTTATATGCCGCCCATCTAGACATATGGCTGTGTGTATCTGTAGAGGAGGTCGCTGTGTTAGTCTATGCAAGCATTATAGATAAAAAGAAAAGGGGAAAAAAAGAAAAAAGGGGTGGCACTTAAATACTATTTTTTAAAAATGTGAGCTTTTGTGGACAAGTCCACTTCATCAGACATATAGCATCAAAATCTAGATATCAAAATACAGAGATACTAGTTGGTTGGGTAAGAAGTCACTGCATGTTTAACATTGTGATGGGGACATCTTTGTTATACAGGTCTTCCACCAATGCGTGTGCTGTCAAGAGTGTGAGAACCTCTGTCATAAAATAACAGTGGTTAACATGTTAATCAGACTGTCTATTTGCAGTTGTTGATGAACTTCCCCCCCCACAAGCTTTGTTTTGTAATCAGTTGCAATAGTGTGTGAATTATCCCTGGCAATGGATGGTCACTAGAGCAGACTAAATAAGTTTCTAAGGTGGGAAATGTATTTGGAAGATGCAGTATAGTACAATATTTTTAGTGCTTATATCTAGTGGTGCCCTAAAAAGCCTTGGCTCATATTATTATTTATTATTTATTAATTAGATTTTTATCCTGTCCTTCTAGACAGGAGTCTACTCAGGGCGGCTCACAATATATTGTGCACAAAACAGATTTAAAAACCACAATTAAAATCTACAATAATAATATAACCAAGGTGGGAAGATAAACAACAAAAAACCAAGAAAAGTAAAAATCAGGTACAGGCAGGAGGGAAGGCCTGCCTAAATAGCCAAGTTTTTAATTGGCTCTTGAAAACACCCAGCGAGGGTGCCAGGCGGATCTCTGGCAGCAAGCCATTCCAAAGTCGAGGGGCCACTGCCGATAAGGCCTGGTTTCTTGTTCTTTCTTTCCAGGCTCTCTCAGCATCAGGCCCCTCAGCCGTCTTTCCTGGCTATAGCAAGCGACTCAAGTAGATCTAGGTGGGAGAAGGCGTTCTGCCAGGTATCAAGGTCTTAAACCATTTAGGGCTTTGTATGTCATCATTAACACTTTGAAGTCAATGTGGAAGTGAATGGGCAGCCAATGCAAAGCCAGCCATATTAAGGCCATTGATGTGTGTGTCTAGCATGTAGATGCATATCTATATCTCCAACCATTATGTGAGAAGTGGCCCAGAAAGAATACCACATTTCAATAAAATCAGGGATGGTCCCTAAAGATAATGGAGAATTGTGGAGTGGAATGTACCTGCTAGGACCACAAGCTAACACTGAGTGAAATTCTGTAAACCTACGTAATAATGCAAAATCGTGATAGAGAAAAAAGTCACTCAGATACAGCAAAAGAAGCCATTTCTACTTTATTTAGCTTCTTCTTCTTTTCTTCTTCCTCAGATATCTGGTTTGAATTTACTCCTGATGAGGCTGGATTCTTTCATTCTGGTGCATTTGTGGATATGAGGTTGTTTGGAAGTATATTCGAGAATGGCAAGCTGAAAACAATGAAGGATGAAAAAAGCATTGCCTATTTGAGAGGTACTACTGGCTGCAGCAAGAGTGGGAAAAGAGAAATATGTATATGATAACAGGATAGATTTTATGGAACCTTATTCAGATGTATGGAGTGTTTAGTTTTCAGCCCATATCAGATTTTTGGTGACACCAATCAACACTAACAACTGTGGAAGCTCAAGACCTGGTTGTTGCCATATGGAAGTATTAATACTGTGAAGCATTATTACTACATAAGGGTTATACTCATGGCTACTACAATTTGGCTGGAATTGGTAATTCTGAAAAAAGGGGGAAATCTCTTGCAAGGAACTGAAAGCAGAACAACAAATCATCTGTGTGCCCTGAGCCATGGTAGCTGACACACAATGGCTGAAATCCTGTTGCTTAGTGCAGTAAATTGCACTAGAGTTAGGATCATTGAATCAATGAGTCAACTACTCTGTAAGTTCCAGTGATTCAAATGGGCCTCCTGTTGTGATTTATTTAAGCCTAGTAAATTAGAACAAAGGTAAGCCTTGTTTGAATGACGGGAACTTACAGTGGTGTTGACTCACCAAATCCCTACTGATTCAATAGGTCTCTTTTAGTGCGACATACTAAGCAACTAAGCAACAAGATTTAAGTCAATGTCCTTCTAGAGGTCTGGAGCAAAACCTCTTATTATTACACAGTGAGTTAGGTTTTTTGTATAAGGTAAAATTCTGACATCCACATACGTACCTAGAGACAATCCTGCTGAACTCAGTGGGACTTACTTTTCATTAGATAGGCCTAGAATTTTAAGTATCCTAGAAATGCCACTTATGTCTTAAAGATGATAGTGGCTGAAAAATATTAAGCGATAGTACTATTTCATTTATGTTACTCTGTTTTCTCTCAATGTAAGAAAAACGTTTTGAAAAGATCTATCTATTTCTTTTACATCTCTCAACTGTTGAGGTTTAGTAACATCTTTATAATCATGTTTCTGAATATATTTGGCTGAAATCCAGTAGTAAGTTGCAATTAGAGTAGTCCCATTATCACAGTGAGCATTTGTTAAGTCAATACCTATGTAAGTTCTGCTGATTTAATGGGCATACTCTAGTTGTGACTTAATACAGCGGTGCCTCGCTTAACGGGCACTCCGTTTAGTGATGAAACCGCATAGTGATGAACTTTTTGCGATAGCAAAAGCGATTGCTTTGCGATGTTTCCTATGGGGTTTTTTTTTGCTTTGCAATGATCGGTTCCCTGTTTCGCTTACCAATCATCGCACAGCGATGATTTTTTAATACCTGATTGGCGGTTCCAAAATGGCCGCCCGCTGTGTTTTCGCACGGATTCCTTGCTTAAGAGGCAGTGAAAATGCCGCCGTATGGAGGATCTTCGCTTTAAGGTCAGTTTTTAGCCCATAGGAATGCATTAAACAGGTTTTCATGGTTTCTATGGTCTTTTTAATATCACTTAGCAGCGATTTTTGCTGCATGGATTAACGTCGCTAAGCGAGGCACCACTGTACTGCATTTTAGCCAAGGAGGGAAAATCATCCATAAATTCCACTCCCATTGTGGAATATCTGGGTGGCTACTGCCCTCTTAAAATTTGACCAAAATCTACTTTCATTACCTATGAGCATTACTTACCTGTTTGTTTCCAACACAGAAGCAGGTGAAAGCCTAGATCTTCAGCTTTATCTGCATAGAGAGTGGTCTGTTTGCAGAGGATATGTTCTTGTTTGCATGTAGCTTCTCCACACAATCCACAACCCTGGAAAGGTGGATCTCCTGCTTCTGTGGAGAGCTTATACACTAACAGCGCCATTCTTTTGCAGACATGTCATTCTCCATGTGGAGAAAGAGGAGACAAAGAAGGGAGGGGCTAGGTGTTCCTCTGGTTCCTTATTAGAGAGAATGGGAGTTTTACTCCTTCACTTTTTGTTCTGATTTCCATAAACAGATTGACTTTCTCTTTTTTAAAAATTAACCTCTTTTAATGCACATGTGAATCCCTAATGTTACGGATTCTGTTCATTCATTTATATATATTTTGAGCCCATAAAAACAAGCTATAACCAAATGGGTACCACCAATGAAAAGATTTTCCTGCAAATTGTGCTACATTCCTACAGAATTCAGATTCTTCTTTTCTTTCAGGCTTATGGGGAAGTGCCTTTGCAGATTTCAAGGTGATAGAAGGTATCTTACATTTAGTACTTCCACTATTTCCACTAAAAGCTCTAATCAGGTAATAAAATGCAACTAGAAACGCTCATAGACCCTCAACCACAGGTCTGAGGGTCTATGAGCAAAACTGCTCACAAACACTTTCCTGAAATAAACCGCTCTATTTGGTTGCAGAGAAATCAGGATGATCTTTTCACTGAACTTTCCTTGGAGAGAAGGAAGTTCCCAATTGTTTCTTGGGGGTTAGGGGTTGCACAGGGGTTGAGTGGGTTTGAACATGTTTATGAGTAATATGGTGAGAAAGGGGAGATTACTCATAAATGTATTTTAACTTGCTTTTGAGTCAAATGTAGGTTGCAGAGAAAATGTGAAATGTCTTAGAAATCCTCCCCCGAGTCATTATATATATCAATGGGCCGGATGGAATTCATGGGTGTTGCTCTGAGTCTTCCAAAGAAACAGTGCATGACAAGTAAATGCAGTGAAACACACTGTGTACAACAACATTTGATAATTTAACAGACCAGTCCTATGTCTATAGAGTTGGGGGTGGGGAGAACACACCCTATTTGAGTTTGAAGAGATTGACTCCCAATATGTCTATAGTCATGTGCACATGCATCTAGAAATAAGTTGCACTGAACCTATGGTATTTAGTTCTGAGCAAATACACACGTAACAGTTATCATTGTGAGCAGGAGTAAACAGTAAGGAAGAGATTATGAACAGAAGACATCAAGCAAAGGAAACATCCCATTCTGAGTAAGATCACTTGTATACCTACCTTGATACTGTGTACTTTTATTAGTCACTGACAATTATCTCTGGAGAAGGAGGGTGCATGGCAAGAAGTGACTCAAATGCTTAAAGAATGGGAAGCTCCATATGGGCAAAGCAAAATATGCTATTTTTGTAAGCATTGCTCTTTTAGCTTGGAGAATATTTACCAAATAGGATGTCTGTATCCATCATATTTTCAGATTTCATCAAACAGATTTCTGGAAACCAAGCTACAGGTAAGCCTTCAAAATTCCTTGGTATTCCTGCAGGAATTCCTCCCAAACCACTATTTGTTGTGTTGAGGAGTTTTGCAAAGCTCTGTGAACATGTTTGCTTTGGGTAGCAAAGAAAGTAGTTTTCTGTTCAGAGTAAAGGGTAAAAGATAGGAAGGTCAGCCTATGACAAAGTGGCCTTGATTCATATTTGTTGGGAAAATATTTGTTTATCAGAACTCGCTAGATAGGCTTCAAGATATGTATGGAACAAAGATACAGGACTGTGAAATAGCGCACTCCTTCTCATTGAGACTATGCCATGGGCATAAGCTAAATGTAGACTAGGAACTACTGGAAGATCTCCAGGAGATGCACAATAGTTACGTAAAGAATTGCTACTAACATTAAAGGTCACCAAAAAGCCTAGTTTTAGCAGCAGTAGCCATGTTAATCTGTGCTAACATGTCAGGCAAAACCAAAACATGAATGAAAAATAAAAAGACAAAGCCATTGTGGCACATTAATGATGAACTGCTATATTTTAACGAGAGCTTAAGTGGATATGTCCATGTAAAGAAAGCCTAGGTATTCCCACAAAGAAGCCAAATGGAAAGCAAGGCATAAGTGAACATAATTTTTCACCTTCACAGTCTAGGCATTAGGGATGCTACAGTCACATGCTAAAATCCCCAGTGACAATGTAAGATGTGGACATTAGAGGTGGAAAGAATTCTAGCTGAAGATTTTCTTTGCCTGTAACATTTCTAGTGTTTCCCTTGGAGAACTGAAGCATGAACACACACATATAGCAAACCTAGAACAGTTGTTGGATTACTAAGAAACATGCAGACAACCCATCCTGTGCTTCAGATTCTTAAACAGAGGAGGAATCACCCTATTTTGGGGCAATTCACAATTACATGAATTGTGAATTCACACACAAAATGGGCAGATATTTTTGCAGAGAACGAACAAACCCACAAACAAAAAACAAAACAAACCACATTTTCATCATCAGTGAGAGAACTTTGTAGAAAACTGTTAACCACACTGGTGAGAAAAAGAATGTTCCAGGTCCTTGCACTTACATGAAAGAGTAAGAAGAACTGATTTACATCCCTCGTCTAGGGCATTCAGGAATGGATGTCCTATTTTTATGCTAGCCATGTAATTGGGAGGAGAAGCACTACTCTGTTGTCAGGAATAGCATTGCTCAGAGAATTTGGCAAATGACCCAAATGGGATAATGGGAAGACTTGATCTACTCTGTAAGTGCAATGTTGGGGCAGTTTTTTAAAGGTTCCATCACTTTATATATGCAAGGCATTGGACACAATCCACCCCCTTGCTACAGATAATGTTGCCCGAGACAATGCAACTGGTGCATCTGCCCAACCGAGCAAAAATTTGCACCTGTGCAATGGGTCTGGCAATGATTCAGGCAATATGCTTCTGCTATTTTATAAGAGTTGGTGAAACAATATGTCCCTTGTTGGGACATTGCTGTTAGTTGTTCTGAGTTTTTCGGGCTGTTTCGCCGTGTTCTGAAGGTTGTATTTCCTGATGTTTCACCAGTCTCTGTAGCCAGCATCTTCAGAGGACTGGAGTAGGAACTCTGCCCATGCTCTGTTTCTACTCCAGAGTTCCTACTCCAGTCCTGTGAAGATGCCAGCCACAAAGACTGATGAAACATCAGGAAGAACAACCTTCAGAACACAGCCAAAGAGCCCGAAAAACCCACAACAACAATCAGATCCCGGCCGTGAAAGTCTTCGAGAATCCTGTTAGTGTTTGGTATAAGAATGAAGAATTCTAAAACCTTCCAGGGAGGTGGAAGTTATGTTAGACAAATGTCAGATAGTTAATTTCCAATGTTTCTTCTTCTTTTTGTTGAAGAAAAATCCTTATTGACAGGTCAAGTATAGAAATTTCTTCCTGGCTAGAATGTCTTCTAGGGCAGCAGTCCCCAACCTTTTTCGGTCCGTGGACTGGCTGGGAAAGGCGGGGCACCCCCTGCGCTCATGCGCATGCATAAATGAGCGTGCTTGCATACATGTGCACACTTGTGCACATGCATGAACAGTGGCACAGTGCTTGCACGGGCACTCGTGTACATGCTTGAATGGCAGCACCGCTGTTTGTGCATGCACATGAGAAAGCGCCCACCCACACAAGCACCGTGTTGCCATTCACACATGCGCACAAGCGAGCACGCAGGCACAAACAGCCTTTGCAGGGGTGAGTGCATGTGGGGGTGGGGCGGGAGGTCTGTCTTCACGGGCTGGTCGGGCTCAGGCCGGGGACCGTCATCGGGCTGCGGACCGGGGGTTGACGACCTCTGTTCTAGGGTATGACAATGCTATGTCAAGGTTCTTATTCACTGTTATTCTTCAGGAACAAAGCAACTAAGTTGAGAGTGGGAGCACCCAGGCAAATAAAATAAATTATATGTGCTTTCTCCTGTTTCTTAATCTAAATTCTCTTGTTCATTTAAAAAATATGACAGTGTAGCTATAGGGATAATTCTGTAGCTTGTGCTTTTCCTTCCTTCCTTCTTTAAAGATTCTAGATGCCAACATTTGCCCTGTCAAGCTGCTTCATACATAATGCAACTCCTGAAACATGCCATAGAAGAGAAGTCACATGAATACTGTGAGAAACACCTCACAGGGCTGATGGAACTTCTAAAAGGCAAGTAGAAACTGTGAAATGAATGTTTATTTTACTGTTTTTCTTCTGCATTTATTGGGATGATTACATCATCATCATAGGAGGCAGTGATTTCTGTCCTATCTCCCCCTGTTCCATCTATATTGATAAGGCTGAATATAATTGGAGGAGTTCAGGCCTATAACTTAACATACTTATTTCACAGTGCCAGTTGTGTTCAACTGGGACATGTATCCTTAATTCAGGAATCCCCAAATTAACATAGAAATAATGTTTGACAGTGAAACATGAAACCAATTTTCAAAAAAATGACTATTGAAAAGATTATAGTTTGGGGCCACTTCATTTTAATTTGATTGGACCAGATGGATCTGTTTTCCATTGTCCCCACCTCATCTAATATTCTTCAACAGACCAAGATGTCAACAATACCTACAACCTTTGCAATTACCTGAAGGACAAATATGGTACTGTGGAGAAATCTGAAACAGTGACACATGTTTTGACAATGGCTGAGACTTTCTACTGGGAATTTGCAGGCAAGTATGACACATGGTCTGCAAGCTTTAGAAAACACACAGGCTCCCACACTGAGCAACCCTGTTCATGTCAGCTGAAAAGTTAAGTTCCAGTATGCCCTGGCATAGCTCAGTCAGTTCGAATGCTTGGTTAGAGCCAAGAGCCAGGATCTCATGGGGCATGCTAGGAGAGAGGTTCATTGAAATCACCCAAAATGTATGTGGCTGATGAAGTTAAGAGTCCGGCCACCAATGTGGCCTTGGACATGCTGCCTGGTTGCAGAGTGCCACCAGAAAGAGGGACGGGTAAACCACTTCTGAGAACTAAGCCCTGGGAGGGTCATTATCAGTAAAAATCAACTTGATGGCACACAATTATTATTGATGACCCCTCTTGTGTTGTAGTGGGGTTTCATCCTACATTAGTGTGTTTGGGACTGCAGCAAAAAAAAAAAAAAAGCATTTCCCCTTAAATGAGTGGAATCATATCTCCAGGCGATTCCTGGTAACATGCAAATGCATTGCCACACAGAGCACACTTTTTAACCAGGAAAAAAGTGATCCTTTAAATGTAATGTGTTTCTTTGCTTTTGACAGCTGGGAAACCTCTATTCACCATCCATGAAGAAGAAGATGAGAGAAGTAAGTATGTGAATCCACATATCCTTCAGGTTCAAGGATCATGTTTGTCAGTCAATCAGAATGCCATAAAATTCAGTATTTGAAATATGAATTCACTCACAAAGAGACAAAACCTACTGATAGAAATGTGCAAAGGTCAGGTTCTGAGAGATTTTTTTTTCATCATAACTCCAATTCTCATATGAAGTTAAATTTCTGCTCATTGATCCAGTCACTATATGAGGTCCTTTGGGGGCTGTTCCATGTGCACAGTATGGTGGGGATGTGTAGAATACTTGCTAATAGCTCATTTGCCATTGAGACAGGCAATACCAACAAAACAAGACAGCTTAGTAAATAACTTCCAAACCCCATGAGTATGCTTGTGTCCAATGCAAGAGTAGGATAAGTCTCCTTCCTCCTTCATTGTGATTGCAGGATTAAGCCAAGAAAAGGTCACATACCACTGAAGGATACCATTTTGATAGCCATGTCAAATGGTACCCCATCATAACAGTGGCCTTACCTAAGCATAATGATGTATGTGTTTTAAAAGAGTTCAGAGTTTTACTCTTATGTGTTAAGCATCCAAAACTGGGGCATGATGATGCAAGAAAAAAATGGCATACTCCTTTTCTTTACACACTCACTATATGTATGGAAAACGTCTCAAGCTCCTGGAGATCTGGTCTATAAGGAAACTCCGATATATACAGCTACCTTCCATGAACTCTGTGCAGTGATTATCACCACATGGTACAATGAGCATGCATAGAAGCAGAGCCAACAGAGAAGCAAATATATATACCTTTAGTGTTTGTGAAGACTGGTATGTGTATCACTCTTACATATGAAGGCAACCACTTGCTTATCAACCTTGGAAAAACAGAACAATCCAGGTGCACATGGAAGGGTGTTTTGACATATCTCAAGGGATGCATGTAGATTGGGAACAAAACCTGGCAGTCTGATATCATACCATTGTTTAATGCACACAGTTGGAACATCAAAATAGGACAATGGTTCATCTGAGACTTCTAGGACTGGCGTGTGGAGAAGTTGCCATTAACATGCTAATAAATGTAAAATATACTTTGAGCCATAGCCACCAGAAGTGGCGTAGTAGCATTTATGAATTTGCAATCTATGTGACAAACTATGTTGACTTGCAAGAAGCAGTCGCCATGCATATTCTGTTTCTTCGTTGTGTACATTTTGGTCACACAGTGCTTTCTCAGAATCAATGATAATGCAACTCTCAGTTTCCTGAAGGTTGTTTCGCCCATTTTAAATCTCATTACTCTTTCTTAGGTGCTTGGGATACATTGAGAATTCTGAAAAAAACTATTTCTTGCCTCCGTGAATGGAAATGGGGGACCAACGCCAACTACCTTTACAAATGTGGTAAGAAACATGGAGGGACAAAATGCTATTTAAGTGCTGTAATAGAGGCCACAGCCATTTAAATAATTCACAAAGAACAAAAGGAAGGATTTCCCAGTTTCAATGGGTTGTCCACCAACTAAGGCAAGAAGTACAGAATTAGAATCAAGACCACATAATTAGGAAAATCTGAAACACATGGCCCTGTTGAAAAGCATTGTGTTTTTACTGGACTTAGCACCTATGGAATGCTACAGTTTGTTGAATTATGAGTTTTATAAACTGCCCATCCTACACCCCATCCACATGCAAGAGGTGTGGGCATTTTAGAAGAGCTTAACTCATAGAGTCTAAGCACAATCAAATATCAGACAGCGTGTGGGCATTTAATAAATAAATTTTAGGAGAGCTTAACTCACAGAGTCTAAGCACAATCAAATATCAGACAGGAAAAGTCAGGGTCACTCAGCCTTGGAGAAATGATGGCCAAACAATATTTCCAAAGCAAACCTATGCATGTTAAATTGAAGAGGTCTGTTGGGATCTTTGAGTATGATTGGCAGAAAGCACCATGTTTGTCAAAATTAAACATTTAGGAGTGTTCTAGAGTTAACCTGTCTCCTCCTAAGTATCTATTAGGAATGTGTATTTCATATTTTTTGAATGACAAATAATTCTCCATACTGGCAGTCCCACCTGGAGGACCTTAAAAATATCTAAATTATGCTCATTTGGAGAAAAAGCCCAGCAGGCAGGCTTCATGCCTTTCATAAGCCTAACTTCCTGTTTGAAAAGGAAGCTGACCCTATGATTACTGCCAGCTGGGCCTTCTCTCCAGGTGAGCTCCGTTTAGGCAGTTGCAATGATGGGTCTGGCAGGTGGGACTCCAAGAACGCAGAATTGTGGTATTCGTTTTTTAAAAACCCCAAATGCACGTCTCTAGTATCTAGCATGTGAATTCTGACGTTCTTACCCTCCTATGAGGCGACTGTCCCCTGTGACTGCCTTAATGTTTGAAATGATTTCTAGAAACACATTATACCTCCCTCTTTTGCTCCAGGTGGTATTAATGACAAGGGTCTAACAGGTATGGAAGAACTTCAGTTGGCTGATGCTGGCTTAGCCATAAATTCTGCTTACCCACTTGTCCTGCGTCCAGAAAGGGAGGTGAAACTTATCCTTTCCTTTGACTTCAGTGAAGGGGATCCTTTTGAGGTAGGTTTATTATACCTTTCACTGTTTATTATTAAAGCACTTTTTTTTTTAATTTGAAGGTGCCAGCAAAAATCCCATGGCAGGAACATAATGATAATAAAGATCTCAAAAAGATGCTGAGTGTTATGGGAAACCTTACACTTTTCCTTCTTTCATTCATTCTGCCTCTCTTAAGTTAGAATGCAACTCAGTGAATAATTTGTGCCTTGTGCAATGTCAGCCTGTAGCCTCTGTTACTATCCTCTTCATCAAAACAGAGTGGTCGGAAGACCAGATGGGCGGGGTATAAATCAAATAAATAAAATACATAAATAAACAAGATTTCAGGCCTCGTTCCCTGGCATAGGCCATGCAATTATTTCAAGGCTTTTAGACCTTTCACAGAATATCTTAGAATTTGATAAGAACTGCATCAAGATGTCTAACTACCATTCAGAACACTGCCAAAGAGCCCGAAAAACCCACAACAGCCATTAGATCCCGGCCGTGAAAGCCTTCACGAATATACCATTAGACAGTTTAAATATGCAACTGCATCAGGGTATTCCCCTCTGTTGGAAGGTAAAACTATGTGTCTTATGCAGTCAGTTCTTGGGTGCTATGGGGAAGTTGTTAAAGTGTATTTTAACTGTTGTTTGGCATGCAGAATGTGAGGGTATTCACTTGTCCTTTTCCTCAGATAGCAAAAGTGTGTGTCCTGCAGCTCAACCAAGCAATTGTATGTTGTTTACTTTCCTTATCTCAGGATATCTATGATACCTGAGTGATACAGTAGTGGGAATAGAAGGAGGGATCTTTCATTCCCCAGTGGAGGTACAATCTTCTTAGAAAGCCATCTCATCTGAAGTGTGAAACCCTGAAAAGACAGGTATTTTCATAATGGCTTCTACACCTTTCCCTCTTTTTCACAGACTGTTAAACAGGCAGCCATTTACTGCAAGAAAAGCCAGATTCCCTTTCCTGATATTGATGTATCAGAGCTGGACAAGAGTAAAGACAGCCCTTCTGACTGCTACATCTTTCAAGGCAGCAACACTCCAACTGTCATGCACTTCCCACTCTTCAACATAGTGAACTGCAGAGGTACATCATCTCTTGTATTAGATGTTCTTAAGAAGGGACCAAAATCACATGACATTGAATCTAGAGATAGTCACAAGTACAGTAAGCCCAGTCTTGAACGATGAGACTGAATGCGGTCATAGCTAACTTGATGACACTAGGTAAAGGTAAAGGTTCCCCTCGACATTTTTAGTCCAGTCGTGTCCAACTCTAGGGGGCGGTGCTCATCCCACTTTTCAAGCTGTAGAGCCAGTGCTTGTCCAAATACAAGTTTCCATTGTCACGTGGCCAGCATGACTAGGGAACACAATTTTACCTTCCCACCAAGGTGATACCTATTTATCTACTTTCATTTATATCAGGCTTGTCCAACCTGCGGCCCGAGGGCCGCAGGCGGCCCAGGTCGGCTCATAATGCAGCCCAGTGCAATTTTTTATTTTTTAAAAAATTCCAAAGATTCAAGTTACACTGCTGGCACGTGCGGCCGGAATGCGGCTGGGGCACGTCACAACGGTAGAGGGGGAGAGGGAAGGAAGGAAGGAGCAGGAGGGGAGGAGAGGGGGGGCTGTGTGACTGCATTGTGCCATCGCCGTCAATAGGTGGTCCCTCTCCCGGCCCCATAATGCCACCGGAGTTGAAGCTGGCAGCCTCTGCTGTCTGAGATTGCAGCTGCCGATAAGCGCGCTTGGACAGGGCTGCGTCGGATGGCTAGGGCTGCCCTTCCATGCAGCCCAAAACAAATTTATGTGCGGCCCAAACCAAATTTTCATCTTCTGATGTGGCCTAGGGAAGGTGAAAGGTTGGACACCCCTGATTTACATGCTTTCGAACTGCTAGGTAGGCAAGGAGCTGGGACAAAGCAACGGGAGCTCACTCCGTCACGTGGATTCAATCTTATGACTGCTGGTCTTCTGACCCTGCAGCACACAAAGGCTTGTGCGGTTTAGCCCACAGTGCCACCACGTCCTTTAATGACACTAAGTGCCATTAATTTTAATATATTTGTTCTAAGCAGGAGTAACTCTACTTTTAGTATATTAATTAGTATAGACCATTTGAATTTTGCAGAGGCAGGATAAAATCCCTGCTTACGTATAAGACATATTTGGTGGTCTTGACAAATGGTTGCTTAGGAAATTAAATCACTGACTGACATCCTGTTGCACAGCTATGCCTGTGTAAGTCACAGTTGTGCAAGCAGTAGCTCAAGCCATTAAATTATAATAAGAATATTCTTCATATGTTAAATATGTGAAGTTGTACGAGATATTTCAAAATGAATCACATGATGTTTCTTACTTATCCTCTTTCTTTTGTTTTAAAGATAAGGTAGCTAACTGGAGAGACAAATACTCCACCATTAATCTTTCTTATGAGGAGCAGGAAATCAAAGATCTTCTAGAAGTGGCAAAAGGAAATGTGAGAAACAACGCAGGAAGAATTTGTCAGACCATGAAAAACATACTACCGTTTTAACAGATGTTCATCTCTTGATTGAATTTTGGGATTCTGTTCCCCTGCTTGGGAGAATGGATAGTATCCAGCCCTACTCAGTTTTATGTCGCAGACGTGTGGTGTCTGCTGCTGGAAATATCAGCTCAATGCAGTTGGATGAAGATGTGATCATACTTAGAGGGGACACATTAACATCTATGGGGCTTAAGCTCATCATGACTAACCTAAGTCCCATTAATTTCAATGGGCCTGTTCTAAGCATGACTATAGTGGGATCCACCATTCTGTTAAACCTTTCTCAGCTATATATTCCTTAAAGGAATATCTATCTTTTCTACAGCAAAACACAATCCCCAAATTTTTATTTGCTTCTGTCCTGTACATCTTTTTTCCCCCCTGTTTAGTTGCTTCACATTTCATCGCATATAGATTACTACCTGGATTTTTTTTTTTAGAATACTTTAGAATTAACATTTCTGGGCATTTTTAAAAGTGCATAGCAAATATTTAAAAGCAGATATTAATATTTATGACTTTGAAATATTCCATCATATGAATCAGCATGAATTTCAAATTAAAAACTGGGGCAAATAATGTATACTGTACTTTATTTTTCTTCTTAGACAAAACAATATTTTATATGAATTCTTAGAAATAAGTCAGATTAATTGTATAGGATTTGCTGTCCAACAAAATAGCTATGGGATTGCATCCTATATATTTTTAAAAAGATTGTTTTCTACATGATAAATACTACCTAATCAGACTTTGTTAGCAGAGTAATTCTTCACTGACATCATATTGTCCAAAATGATCAAATATATTTGTATTCTGGATAATCATTAATAAACAGAGTATCAGTCATTTAGTGTTATGGATATTGCTCAGCCATTAAAAAAGGGAAATAAAAGAAACACATTTAAGGAATAGACACCATTTACAAACAAAGAAACCCACATAGATGTTACATGCATGAAGCAGATACATGTCCTCATTATATGTACAGTATTTATAATTTCTGGCATGGTGTGCCAAACTATCATCAAGCTTCACACGAATGCAAGGTTTTTTAAAAAATGGCAAAAATCCTGCATGTCACACCTGTTGGCACCACACAGTCAGCAAAAATGTCACTGGTGATTTACTGCAAGTTAAGAAATCAATGTCAGCATTTGCCGTTTTGTGCTGTTGTGTGACTTGATGTAGAATAGCAAATGCCTACTGTTAACTTGTAATAATTCACCAATGAAAGGAAAAGGTTCTCCTTGACAAATAAGTCCAGTCATGCCCGACTCTAGGGATCGGTGCTCATCTCTGTTTGTAAGCCAAAAAGTTGATGTTTGTCCGTAGACACTTTCCGTGGTCACATCACTGGCATGACTAGACATGGAACACCATTACCTTCCCACCGAGGTGGTATCTGTTCATCTACTCACATTTGCATGCTTTCGAACTGCTTAGCAGGAGCTAGGACAAGCAACCAGATCTCACCCCATTGCGCGGATTCAAACTGCCAGACTTTCAATCAATTTAACCTGCAGTGCCACCCTTGTCCCAGGATAATTCCCCAATTAGATGTATGCTAATTGTGTAATGACAGCAGGTGTAACAAATAGGATTTTGGTCAATGTTTCAAGAGTTGACAATGTAATTTAGTTCAAACAGGCCAATTTGATTTTCCCCCCTGTTTTCCCCCCTATCAAACAGGAAGGACAGTCACCTACACGTTCTCTCAACTCATAGCATCTATTGCTGAACAAAACCAGATGAGGTGCATGCCAGAGAAATTGAGCTCACTAGAAATACTCAATGTTTACTTATTGCTTGGTGTATAGCAAATTGTCCACGAGATGGCAGCACAGTAAAACACAGCTTAGATAATTTCCTCACTATAAAGGCAGGACAGAAATGTGTATTTCTGAACAACTGTCAGTCTTATGGGCTTGCAGAAGATAAAACATGAATAATAATGTAGCTGTAGTATGATAGAGAATCATCAAATAATAGAGTTGCAAGGGGCTGTTAAGGCCATCAAGTCCAACTCCCTGCTCAGTGTTGTTCTTCTGAAATCCTTTAATGGCATTTACAAACTACAACAAAACAAGCAAAATAGGAGAAGCAAAATTACACAAATTTTACAAATTAGGAGCAAGAAGCAGGAGACAATTTCAGAATTGCAGATAAGAAACCTGCTCAGTGCAGGAATCCAAATCAAAGCAGATCTGATCGATGGTTGTTCAATTTTCTCTTGAATGCCTCCAGCGTTAGAGCACTCGTTAGAGGTCTTGAACCTCTTTGAACTTGCTATTTGTCTATTTCCCCCCCCAAAAAAAACATACTTAAAAGACAAGTGGTGTTAGTGAGAGTAAATGTCCATTTCCAAGTTAAAGGACTTATAAATGGAAACTGATAGCCATTAGTTCTCTGAGGTAAATAATAATTGAATTATTAATCCAATTAATAATAAACAATATGTAAGATTTCCAGGCTCAAACATATTGTATCCCATTCTTAAAACATAATTTAAAAATATTCTATCATTATCATTATCATCATAGAATTGCAGAACCGGAAGAGACCCTAGGGATCATAAGTCCAGCCTTGATCAAGGAGGCACAGTGGAGAATCAGACTCCCAACCTCTGGCTCCACAGCCAGAGACTTAAACCACTGAGTTATCTAGGAGTTGTTTTCTTCTTTATCATTTTCCTCAGGGCCTTTTTCACCTCTGTGTTCCTCAAACTATAGATGATGAGATTTAGCATGGATGTTATCACCATAGAAGAAAGACAAAAATTTGTCTTGCTCCAAAGAATAACTGGATTTAGGTTGCAAGTACATGAAGGTGGCCATAGAAAAGGGTCACCATGGTGAGGTGTGAAGAACATGTGGAGAATACTTTTTGCTTTCCTTTAGCTGAGGGCATCCTTAATATGGTGCCAAGAATACAAATATAGGGCGCAAGTATGAAAATGAAAGGAATCAAAATTGACAGAGTGTGGTAGCGTGCCAGGGGTGACAACTAGTAGATTTCCCAGAGAATTGAAGTTGCTCCATGAGTTATCAGGCAAAGAGACAATATTGATTGGAAAATTATATTGAATCAAGATTGCAGCAAGGTTCATACATACAGTACAGTCCTTATTCAGTCCTTTGGTCATACACTGCAATATCAATAGGTTCAGTCCATAAATCAGTCTAGTGAAACTTTGTCCTTGTTAAATCCATCTGACAGCCTTACTCCTCCAACCCACACCATGAGATAAAATGCTGGAACTGCTGGCTTTATTCCACCTTCAGCCAATCGTTGGTTTCCTTACACAGCTGTTACAAGTTTTACTACATATCTTATTCCTTCACAGCTGTCTAAATCAGTATTTTATAGTATTTCTTTACAGTGATTCTTACAAATACTTACAGCATTTATAAGTTCTTACATATAGTTTTACAAAACTGTATTAACAATTCTACTCAGGTTCTAGTCAGACCTGTCAAAAGTGATAATCAAACTGCTCACTAGTATTGCCACCTTGTTCAGGGAAGTGTCACCACAGGCTAGCTTCAAAACTGGTGGGAAGTCACAGAAGAAATGGTTGATCTTATTACAGCTGTGGGCACACAGCTCTCTTATTGACTCTGGCCAAGCTTGCTACATGGAAAATTCCAACTAGCTCTAAGATAAAATAGCTTCTCGAAGCATCTAGTTACATGACACACAGACTAAGATGGATTCCTTCTACACAATTTCATGACTACAAATCCCATTTAGAAATTACATTCTAGCTTCAATAACTTAATCATGACAACAGCTGCAGTATGCCAAGCTAAAGGCCCAACAGGTGTTCACCAGTGAAAGAAGACTGATGCATAGCCACGGAAACAAAGCGAGATGCATGCAGACTTGTTTTGACATCATCACTGTATAATGCAAGAGAAGGCATACTGTAATGTAATGATCATAAGCCATGGAAGCTAATAGGAAACAGCTATCCCCAGGAAGAGGAGAAAATACATTTGAGCTGCACAGACACTGAATGAGATGGATTTCTCTCCTGAGAGAAGACTGCGCAGCATCTTAGGGTGAACGAAATATAGCAGATCTCTAGGAATGACAGGACTCTCAGGAAGAAATACATGGGGTAATGTAGGGTTACGTCTGCCCATTTGATGAAGATGATAAGACAGTTACCACTTACAGTGACTAGATACACAATGGAAAGGAGAATAAGCATGGACATCTGTGTCCCCAAATGACTGGGAAATCCAAGGAAAATAAAATAGGTGATGGAAGTTTCATTCATTTTCATGGTAGCACCAAAACATTCCATCTGAGGAGTAAAGAAAGAGCAACACTATATCCATTAGATGCTTTGTTTGCCCTCCATGTACCTTGTATATCAGATAGCAGTTATGGATTACAGGATGCATTGCAGATAAAATGGATATTTTCTAAATTACTTTTTCGAATGGGTTTCATTGCCTTGATAGGTTAGTTAAGGTGCCTGTAATTTACCCTAAATACCTCCATGTAAAACTAGAATCCTTCTCCTTTGAGAAGCAAAGCATGTACACATAAAGCAAGCATGGAGGGACTGGGTGAACGTTCAGATCAAAAAGATGCAAACAACTTATCCAGTACTTCTAACCTATAAAAATGGAACAAAAGAACAGTGATCATTTGTTGTTGCTGTTTAGTCATTAAGTCATGTCTGACTCTTCGTGACCCCATGGACCAGAGCATGCCAGGCCCTCCTGTCTTCCGCTGCCTCCTGGAGTTTGGTCAAATTCATGTTGGTAGCTTTGATGACACTGTCCAACCATCTCGTCCTCTGATGTCCCCATCTCCTCTTGCCTTCACACTTTCCCAACAGGGAGTCTGCTCTTCTCATGAGATGGCCGAAGTATTGGAGCCTCAGCTTCAGGATCTGTCCTTCCACTGAGCATTCAGGGTTGATTTCCTTCAAAATGGATAGGTTTGTTCTCCTTGCAGTCCAGGGGACTCTCAAGAGTCTCCTCCAGCACCACAATTCAAAAGCATCAATTCTTCGGCAGTGAGGCTGAATTGGAGACTGTACCAATAGCATTTGTTGTTTGCTTCCCCTTATGTTTGCTATGGGAAAAGTTCTCCAGGCCTTAACAGTTTTTTGTTCTTTGAGTTGTTGTATGGGCAGTGTCAGCAGGAGACTCATAGACCTCAAGGGGAGGTGGAAGGAAACACAGGATAATCCTGTTCTCTAGTGCAAAAAAAGACTGAAATGAGAGAACATTTGTGGCTAGCCAGTGGGTTAGGAAACGAGGTTGTGGAGAACCTAAAGAGAACGTATGACTTGTAGGTGTAACCCCACATATTCATGCACGGCCAGAAAAGGCGTGCTTCTTCTGATCTTGATCAAAGTCAAGCCATTTTCCCAGTGGCAACACCCCTTTGAAGTGGTACAATGGATGGAGTCTGAGGTTTATGAGATCCACATTTATAATTGCTGGAAGCCATTACAAATATTCTATATAAAACCTTCTCAAGAAGTGGAAAGATTGGGAGGCCTTGTATGGCGGATGCTGACAAGGCAGCC